AAAAAAAAAAAAAAAAAAAAAAAAAACACATCATAGTAAAATTAATACTTTCTCAGCTTCGCATCGAAGCTAAAATGTAAAATATAATATCAAGAATTTTTTCACAAAAATTGCATATAAGTCCAGAGATCAAATTTTTTTTTTCAAATTAAAGTATATTATATTAGCTTTAATTTAAGGTATATATAAAAGTGTCAGTCTTGCCGGAACATTTTCAAAAATTAAGTTGAAAAAGTGAATTTTTTGTAAAAAAGTTACCATTTTGAAATCCTTCCTGTGGGCTGGTAAAGGGTCAAATAAGGGTTCACAAAAATATATAAAATGATAGGTTAATACCTAAGGTATAAATAAAAAAATAAAAAAATCATTCGGTTATTTTTAAAAAAGTTATGGCAATTTTAAGTAAAAAAAATTGAAATAATGTTGAAAATTAGCGATTTTTAAATTTGTAATTTTTTGGGGATTTTCCCCGTTTACGGGGAACGAGGGAATTTTTTTCAAATTTAGGGTAATGTCTTCGACTAGATACGATTTGTGATCTTTTGACATATTTTTCATCAAAATTGGTCCAGCGAGAGCTGAGAATGAACGTATACAGACACAAAAAAATAATAATAAATGAAAACACATCATAGTAAAATTAATACCTTCTCAGCTTTGCATGGAACCTAAAAAATTGTATTGATCCATACATTTTTCAAAAAGTTATGGCAATTTTAAGTAAAAAAATTGATAAAATGTTGAATATTATCGATTTTTAAATTTGTAATTTTTTTGGTGATTTCCCACATTTATGGGGAACGAGGCAAATTTTTTCAATTTTTGAGAGTAATGTCTCCAACTAAATACGATTTGTGATGTTTTGACGTATCGTTGAAAGAAATCAGTTCGGTAACAACAGAAAAAATGGTAACAGACACAAAATAAACACATTATAGTAAAACTAATACTTTCTCAGCTTCGTATCGAAGCTAAAAAAATTAACATTCGACAATGAATGAAATGTGGGTACTTAAAAATAAATGTTTGCTAAAAATTCAACAGTCGACATGTCTATTTAATAAATTGTAAAAAAATTGACGTCAGTATTAATCCAGTGAATATTAATTTAGAACACTGGATACTTCATTTAAATTATTATCCACCATATTTATTTTAAAAGAAACCATGTATAAAAAGCGTCTCTATAGCTTTTCAAGTTTATTAACTAGCCCAGTTTCATTTGAATTCCAAATAATGGAACCAAATTCAAGGGATGATATAATTAAGTACAATATAAAGTTTCATTCGATACATGGTTTATTTTTAAATTCAAGAAAATTCGTTTTAAAAACTCTTAGTTTATCAATGATTTTTCATAAATTGTATCTATAGTTATTAAACAATAAATCTGATGAAAATATAATACCAAACTCACGAATGTGAATGACATTTTCTTATATTGTATTAATAATTAAATAAGATAAATTTATTTGGGATCTACATCTATTGAATGCGATTTGTTAACATTTATTCATACTGAGTGAATGAACAATGTCTACACGCCAGTTAACAAAATTATTGATAACGTCTTGTAGATCTTCAACTGATCTCTTGCTTATTAAATGAAGCCGCCAGTAACCAAGTTTTGAACACGAGGCAGTCCACGTCAATCACTGCCCCGTTAGTGGCTTGGCCACGCCATCGCTCTAAATAGTAAATATCTACCATTTTTTTTAATTTACTTAATAGAAAATTATCAATATAAATTAAAAATGTATTAATTATAAAATAATATAATAAAGCTATTTTTTAGATATTCTTATCATAAGTTTGATTGACTAATTTCAGTTAAATATCTTTTCATGTTTTCAAAAATGTAAAATAGTATGTACGATTCTTACTTGTGGGCATAATATAAAATACTAACTCATCTGATTTTAATTTATATTTCATTCGATACATAACAAAATCACAAATAATTTTTCACAAGCATAAAATGAATATATAGATTAAAAATGACTAAAATAATATTTCAGTACAAATAATTTTTTTTTCATTCATAAAGCACAAACAAAACATAATAAAATAAATATAAGTATATATATTAATTATCCTAATCCTAATTTATATAAGAATATCAAATTTATTAACTAGAAAATAAAATAATTAACATAAATAATATCTACAGTTTTTCAAAATACAAATTTTAAATAACACACATAGGTATATCTAATAACACTAATTAATAAAATAAAATGGATGCAGTATTAAAATTATAATAATAGGTAGATTATAATTAGTTTTAAAACAGAAATGTAGTAAAAAATAAAGGTAAATTTCAAGTTTGTCGTGAGAAATATATATTTGTACTGAAAGTTGGAAAAAATATTTTGTTTATACAGATTTAATTTTGCTGTCATAAAAATGTCAACTACCCTTTCTAATGCGAGACATATTACTTTGGTGTACTAGAATTGTATGATTGCTTACTCCATTAGTTACTGAAGAAATTATATTAACTTTGTTTTTGAATTAAAATAATGCAAACTGCCAATAAATTGAATATTTAATATTTATTGCAATTTAATTAATACATATACATAATTTTAAATGCTACAAGGTTTTATTTATATTTAAAATAAATTTAAAAATATTTTTTTATATATTAAATTTAAGTATTTTAATCATCACTTGAAGCTCCAATAATAGTCAAAATGTACAAGAAAATGTTTATTACATCTACATAAATATTTATAGCTGCAAAAATATATTCTTCTGGTGATATTGAGTATTTATGTTCACCACCAACCATAAGTTGTGTGTCATAAATCAAATACAGAGAGAATATCAATGCACCAGCTGAAGCAATTATTGTATTCAATAATTGACTTGGGAAAAACAAAGCAACTAAACTAACAACAAAGAGAACAAGTACGGCGACCATAAGAAAACCACCCATTACTGTAAAATCTATTTTGGTTTGCATTGCAAAAATTGTAAGAGCAAAACAAATTAAAGTTGTTAAACCAATTGCTAACAAAACTCTATGTGGATAATATCTTGAAGCACACGTAGCTACCATATATGATTCAGCTAATGTAAACACAAATAACAAAATGAAGTTGGTTGGAGTTTTTCTGCGCAAATCTTCACAACAAGCCAAAGCGATTAGAGTTCCAAATGTAGCTATCATAGCAATAATAAATAACTCTCCATGTTTTTGCATGAATTCTTTAGTAGGCTGATGTAAAACAGCCATTGCAACAAAAACCAATGTCATTAATAACTGGCACATTAGTATGCTATAGACTTTACTGTAAAAAAAAAAAAAAAAATGAATAAATGATGTAAATTGAATTATTACTATGTTACTATGAAAAAAAAAATTGTTTTACACTACAATTATATTTTTTTATATTTACCTGATGAAGTTTCTACGAATTGTTTTATCACTAAATCCAAAATTTTCTGGTGCATTGTATGAATTGTTTTGAGGAGGTATGTTTGGTGTTCCATAAGGTACACCATATTGAGGAGGATAACCTCCATAACCACCACCACCACCACTACCACCATAACCACCACTTGGAACATATTCACTGCTGGGAGGATAACCACCACTCGGAACATAACCACCATCTACTTTTGGATATGGAGCACTTTGTGGATAAAATCCTGGGGGAGGAGGAGCTGGAAATGATAAAAATTATATCATTTAAATTGAATTAGTTAATAAATAGTAAAATACTAATTATTTTTTTAAAGATCAATTTGATCTTTAAAATTGTTACATAAAACAACGATTTTAGGAACTAATATAAGTGATTTTTTTCAAATAGATTGATATATATATATTGATTTACCAGTTATCACAATATTTTAAACTAATAGTATGAAAACTCTTACAGCTTACAGCTTAAATGATAAACAGAGTGAGACACAAAAATATAACTAATCCAATAACTTTTGATCAAATAATCATTTCACTATAATTTTTTAAGAATTTTTGCATTTATAATAGTAGAATGCACATAAAACAGTGTCAGCTATACATACCCGTACTACATACCCACTTAATATATTAATATAATTGTAACTCAATAAGTAATTATCCTAAAATTGTTATAGACAGTTTAAAATTTTTTATAAGAAAAAGGCTAAAAATAGCTATTTTGAATAGTGGCGGGCTGAACCAGTAAATTTGAAAAAACCAAATAACTAAATTTTTTTTGTTTTTTGATACACAAAAAGTACAATATTTGTCAAGTTGATATTATTTGGCATTAAGAATCTAATATTGGGTATTATTCCATTCAGAATATTTAACCATTACTACTACACATATTTAGTAGATTTTTAATATGTTAAAATATAATAACTATTAAATAGAGACTAGATTTGTATTAGTATATCATATACATATTTGAAGGTGATCTATTTAGCTTAGCTGTGAACTTTTGAAACTAATTGATTTAAATGATTTTGTAATGACTTTACCAAGTTGGAATAAGTGCAAATACCAACATAATTATAGCTTTATTTTTAAATGAAGTTTTCATAACAAAGGCTAATAAATTTTCAACAGAAGATGATTGACTTTTTAAAGCGAGCCATTGAGGTTGATTTAGAAGGGTAGAACAGACCAGCCACTGATACCTTGCTAGACATAACCAGAGTATAATTTACAATAATAAAAATATAGTATATATAAAATAGATAAAGCTAAATAACGAAAAAGACTGAGTGACAGTCGCTGATGGATTACTGCTTAGGTTTAGGCCTAGGAAGGCATAATTTTCAAAATGTTAAAATTTAAGAGCCGAAGAAATATACCAAAAATTTTTTTTTTAATTGGTTCTGATTTTTTTTTAATTTATTAAAAAAATTTTATGGACTATAATATAATTCATTTTGTCATTGACTTTCAATTTGAGTGTGCATTATTAATATATTGATGGAAACAATTATAGTATTCATCGAATAAGATTATTAAAAAGAAATAACAAAATTGACTGCAAATTACTAAATAATTTTTCACTTTTGTATCTATGATGAGATTACTCTTACATATATGAACCATTTGAAATTACTTATAAGTCTTTTGTATATGATTGAGAATTAGTTTTGTACAGTTGAGGGGGTGAGTGTGTTACGCATGTTTACAGAAAACAAGAGCACTACGCTTAATAGATATTGACAGAGTTAACTTTGCTTTGTTAACTATAGAACTAAGTGTTTTGTGTCTGTAAGCGAGTCGCAGTAATTATTTCAGTTTTACGAGTGCTGTTTCAAGAGTAAAAGTTTCAAAGTTGTGAAGTGAAGTNAAGTGTTTTGTGTCTGTAAGCGAGTCGCAGTAATTATTTCAGTTTTACGAGTGCTGTTTCAAGAGTAAAAGTTTCAAAGTTGTTTATTAAGTTTCTTGCTATTAAAAGAAACATTTTTTTTTAATAAGCTGACAAAGTCCTGAATTTATTTTTTTTTATCAACAATGAGTAGCTATTGAAAAAAATTTAGCGGTGCAGAATATCATAAAAGAAAAGCGTAAGAATCTTCAAAAAAAGAAAGCTTATTAAAAATATCCTAAAAATATCTAATTTTATGACAAGCTCAACAAATTTTATGAGTAGTGAAAACAATCAACAAGCATCAGGTTCATCTTTCGTAAGTATTTTGATGCAATTGTTAATAATTATTTTTTTTTGAATGTGTTATTTTAATCTTAATTAAAGGACTATACAACCAAAAAATCAACTTTTTTTTTTTATTATCTTAACATATAAAGAAAAAAAACATAAACATTTTGGCGGTGAAAATTTTTTTTTAGACCACCCGTTCTTGACTTACAGACAATATTAAATAGGCGCGTGATGTCACAGATTCAATTTTGTGGCGGCGGCCGTACTTTTCTTATGGAATGCTATCTTTAACTTGTTATAACTATTAAAACACTAAATATATCTTATTTTACCAAAGAAAATTTTTTAAAGAAAATAATTTTATCTTTTATTTGATATAATTTTTGTTGAGTTGCAATCGTTCTGACTTGTTAAAATAATTCATACTAGCATTCAATGTTGAAGGCATTACTGTGTATTGAGTATATGTACTGTGTCTTGACGTTATTACGATGGACATTTTTATAATATTATCCTTAAAAGTTTCTACTTTTATATCAGTAGTTTCTTGTTTCTTTGTCAAATTGTATACATTTACTTTATCATTCAAAAATACCTGTTATTAATTGTCCCTTAGTAAAAATATTGTGAAAATTGTACATTACATATTTTTTTTACGTTACTTTTGTTAGTTCTTTTTAAATTTAATTATAATAAGTTTTATTGTGGTCAGTTGGTCGTTGTTTTTTTTACACTAATAAAAATAATCGTTGGAATAATAAATCAATTACCTAAAAGTTTTAATATTTTTATGACAAAAAAAAGAATGTCCAATTTTATGAATTAGTTTATCTTTGTCCAAAGATATTCAAGAATTAAACCAGTGTGTAAAGTGTTTTTTTTCTTTAATTTTTAAAATAAACTTGTTTTTGTGGTTGGGTAGTTCTTAAAGAATAAATTAATGAAAATTGTTAAAAGAAATTTTTTTCTACCCGGAATTTGACAATTTATCAATACAAGATACCGAAGAAGTACAATCAAATTCTTTTTTTATCACAAGACACAAATTCAAACGAAATATCGTCAGATTTTCCTCCATCACAAGATTCCGAAGAAACAGTTGACAACTGATATTTTGGTCATAGTTTGGAATGTTATTATAGATTATTTTAATGCTTTCAGTAAGAAGGTTCAGGAATCTAATGCGGATTTATCATCTTTGGTAAAAATTTATGGTTCTTTTGCATTATTTATTCAAGATATAAGGGACAAACAATTCTCTGAATATGAAAAATAAGCAAAAACACTTTCTGGAGTTCAAGTTTATTATCGTTATGATACAGGTCACCAGAAAATTAGAAAAATTCAGGCAGATGAATCACGGGTGAATGAAACAACACCTTCATCTGGTCAAGAAAATTTTTGCACCAATGTGTATTACCAAATTATGCTTTAAGCATACAATTGGACGGACGTAAAAATGCTAATCAGAAACTTTACAAAAATTTTAATTTTTTTGATAATTTATCTGACATAGATACAAATGAATTGAAAAATCTTGCAAATAAATTAGTTGAAAAGTATCCTAATGACTTGGAAGAGACATTAGGAAATGAATGTATTCATGTACAATGTCAGCTCAGATTCCTTAGCAAATACAGAAGATGTACGGACAAGAAATATTCTATGTATTGCATTCTCAATATCTTCGAGATGTTTATCTGAATGTCCACATTGCTCTATGTATTTTTTTAAGAATTCCCGCTACCAATTGTTCCGGAGAAAGATCTTTTTCCAACTTGAAATGGGTTAAATCTTATTTATAGGCAAGTATGGGACAAGATAGACTCAATGCATTGGCATTACTGTCTATTGAAACTCAACTACTTCAAGAAATTGATTACGATGACATAATTGATGCTTTTTCTCGGACAAAAGCCAGGAAGAAGAGATTTACAAATTGAGCATAGCATAATTTGAGAAAAATGTTTATTAATATTATTTGTTATGCTAGAGTTTAACAGAAAATTGTTTGTATTATTTAATGATAATATTTAAATAAAATAAAAGCTATATTTAAAAAAACAATTGTGAATCAAAATATATATAATTTTGTTAATCAAAATTAGATGTATCAGACAGGGTCTAGGGAGGCAAGAAGCTTAATTTGCCACCGGTGACAGAGTAATTAAGCACATAATATGAGATAAATGTCCATATTTTATTAGCGAACACAACTGATATGTTTATTTTACAGTATCAAAAAGAACAGAATACATTTTTTTCGCACTAACTACTAAGATTATAGATATTAAATTTTTTTTATCATTTCAATTATAGGTGTTCATTAAAAGTACAATAATAATTTTTTTAAAAAGTAATACAAAATATTTAGTAAAAAATAATTAGATTTGTCAAAATTATGGACTACCTTGTATTTTTAATTTTAGCAGTCTTTCATAAAAAAATTTTAATTTATAAAATGGTAAAAACTAAAAATTAATTAATTTTTCATAAAATGTAAAATTTACCTGCTCCAGTGCCATAAGGTGTTTGAGTCTGTTGCCAGGTGCTCATTTTAATATAAAAAAATCTAAAAATAAAGTATAAAATATGAGTAATTCCTATTGTTATAAATGTCAGTTGACCATATAAACTAACAGGCACATGTTATGCTATATTAAAAAAACAATCAAAATTTTAATTTAAGCATAAAAAATATAGCTGACTGTATCTTATCTAATATCTCCAAAAGATATAAGACCTTTAACAAATTATTAGATTTTGGAAAAATGCAAATCAAAATTTTTAATTTAAAATATGTTTTATTATAGAACTATTGGTTAGTTAAACAATTTAATATTGAATTTTATGAAATATCATTAAAATTCAAGTTTTTTTTTATTCTAATCTAAGAATTACAAGAAAGTTATGCATCCATTATATTAGAAGCTAACATAAAAATTAGACTATTGAAAACTCATATCATAGTAGTAATAATAATAATAATAATAATAACTTTGCTAATTATGACTAAAATTAATTAAATTTTCATCTTTGACACATTACAAAACATTGACTATTTTAAAATATGCCCGTTTTTTATAAACTTCAGAATGCTTCAATTTTTGCTTTTTGTGAGTTTATTGCTTACAACCTAATTTTATTAACATTTTTGTAACCAAAGAAAATGTTAAGTTTGAAATATTTATTTTCAGGTCAAACTTATTCCACCCAGAAATTGATACTACATTCAATCAAACTCCAAATATGATTCAGGAATTGAAAACCCACTAATTAACTAATATTGTATTATGGCATTAGAAGATCATGATTAGAATAATGCCATGGTTCTAATATAAGATTATAATTAGACATAGAAACTACATAAATTATTTTAACTAGATAAGTAAATTAAAATTAAAAAAAAGTAGCACTTAAAATTGTTACAAACTTTGATTTATTATAATATATGAATAAGTAAAAAAAAAAATTAATCATAAGTTTTTTATGGGTAAATATCGGATTAGTTATAGGAATTAAATATTAAAGTTTATACACTGAAAAAATAAAAATCCTGTTATAAATGAAAGTCTCAAATACACATGTAAAATTAGTATTTAGATTTTCATAATCGACTTTACAGAAAGGTACAAAAAAACAAAAATTTTGAATAGATATAAATATTTTTTAAAATGAATTATGTAACATATATATAATACCTGTTTATTTAGTATATTTAAGAATTACTTGAACTAATGAAATTACTACGAAACTCTTAAACTCCGATGAAATTGCAGAGCAAATATAATATATTCGTTATTATATTACAATATCGGCAAATAAGACAATTAAAAACTGCTGATTTTGATCAATTATGACAAGCAAGTATATTTTAAAATAATAAGTGTAATCTTCGAGCAGTTTTCAGATCAATTACGCCACAGATGACTAATGTCAACAGAACTGTTTATTATAGATAATAATAAACCTCTAAAAATTATTGAAAAAGAATACTCTAGAATATCACTGACAGTGTAGCCCATATAAGAATATCAGTTAACAGTGATGGCACTTCACTACTATTTGAGTTAACACTGAATATTGAATCAAATAGAAAATCATCTATAAATTTCAAAAATAAATGTCCCTAATAAGTAAATACAAATTTTTAACTTTACGTCAAAATGGCCAAAATATGGATGGGACAACTCAACAATAATATGATTCATTGTAAACTTTAACATTCAGGATGGATCTGAATGTTAAACACATTTTATTTTCGGCAATATTTTTACATTTGTTTTTTTAAATAATTTTTAATGATTAACTTAAATTTGATGATTATGCGTAATATTTCATTCACTATTTTATTTTAATAAAATCGTAATACGAATATATTTGAATGGCGCGCAGTATTCTACAATTTCTAAGATNGTAATATTTCATTCACTATTTTATTTTAATAAAATCGTAATACGAATATATTTGAATGGCGCGCAGTATTCTACAATTTCTAATTAATACGTCCAGAAATAAATGATAGCAGAGTAGTCTAAGATTTGCTATGAACGAATTAAAATATTTTCAGCGACACAATTCTAGCACCTCTAAACTTTTCGCTTATATTTGTTTACATAAATATTTACAGTAAAACTTCGTAAATGTATATTATTAGTTATAAACTATTTTTAAAATTTTTATATGTTGTATATTTTTTTGAATTACAAGTGAGAATGTATAAAATGAATTTAGATTAAAATATATTAGATGAAATACAAAAAAGTATTAAATCCACTAGAAAAATAGAATTAACTATTTTCTCTTAGTATCCAATCACTTTTTAATGCATTTAATTTTTTTCTCTTCCATTCTTTTTTAGTTCTTTTTTTCTCTTCTATTATCTTTTTTTGAGCTTCAATTGAATAAACACCATTTTGAATTTCATCTAATCTGTAAATTAGTTTTTGTCTAGCTAATTTTCTATTTTCATCTACACATCTTGATTCATGGCATTTGATGACTATACCAGTTGGTTTGTGTTTCAACATTACACAATTAGAATTTTTATTAACTGCAGACCCACCAGGCCCACTTCCTTTGACATATTTTTCTTCAATATCATTTTCATTTAAAGTTGGTACTTTGGTTTGGTCCAATATATATTTGTAATTAGATAAACTTAAACTAATTTCTCTTGTATTATTACTGATTGAAGGAAATATTTTTTTAAAGAGAAACATGAATTACATTTAAATTATAGACTTTTTCTTTAGTAATTCTAGTCCTTTCTAAAACAAAAAAAAATAAATTTTTAAACTACAAAATAATAAATACATAAAATTAATTAAGACATCATTTGGGAATCTTAAATGATTTAATTCTAATAGAATAATTTAATTAACCTTACGTTGTAAAAAAAATGTATTTTTTCAGGATCTGCAAGTTCTTTATTTTTGACAAATTCCTGTTTAATTCGTTTTTGATAATAATTTTTGTTGGTTAATTCTAATGTTTGTCCATATTTGAGTAATTCTTTATACAACTTTCTTATATGTAGTGTACTAATTGGCATATCTGAAATAAATATTTTTATAAGAGTAATTTTATTTTAGGAAGTTAGTGTAAAGATAAACTAGATTTTCTTAAGAACCCAACTCTTCATTTTCAAAATTAAAAATATAATTAATCATTTATAATTACTCATGACATATACACCATATAAGGCATGTAGGGCTAAGAGACTTAAGTTTAAAAATCTATAGACTTGATATAAATTAATGTACCATAAAAATTAATTGACAAATAAATGTTTAATAAATTGTACTTCCTCGCCAGTCTATATTTAATATAAATCTGATTGAGAATATTTTTCTGGTGTATACTATGACAATCGTGTAAAAAAAGGCTTGGTAAAGGATTAGATCTTGTGACCCTAGGTGTCATAGACAAACCTTAGAACTAGATCACCATGATTCATATTTCAATATACTTTCATTTAAGTTAATAATATGGTGTTTGGCTAAGGGAAACACATACCATATAAACTTTAAATTAAATAATATGATGTACAGATAAATTCAATTTTTTTTAAATACAATTAATAGTATACATTTGGTAAATATATTTTCTTTAATTACCAAATGAACCAACCTTACTTGAAAGAAATTTTCGGCAATTATTTCAAAATTTACATAATTCATTCATATCAAATCTAAAATGTATTGCTAATTTTATAAAGAGATAATTTTTTACTTTATTAACTAAAAGGTAACAAAAAAAATTTCAATGATTAGAGTATATTGAAATATGTTTCGATAAGTCTTATCAAATATCACTTAAAAATGTTGAACGGCGCTACAGTCGTTCCTATTTTAAGTTATTATCAAGGGTTTTGCAGCATAGAATAATTTTTATTACTTTATGGGTTGTAATAATAATTAATATTATTCGATTATAATGGAATATCAAATAAGGTGGCTAAAATTCATAATTTTAAAATTTAGAATATTTTAATTTTCAAAAAGAAAAGTCGTTTGAAGATATTCTTTGAATCTAAAAAAAATTGTTTGACAAACCTTAAATTAAAAATTAATATATATTTTTAATATGTTTATTCATCGTGTTAACCATACAAATCATATCATTTCATAAAGTAAAGTAACTGAAATATAAAAAAAAATTATCTGCGCCTTCTTGAAAGTTTAATGATAATAGTTGATTAATTTTTTATCTTATTTTACATGTAATAATTTTTATAAGAGTATACTAATTGGACGACACAGACAAAAACGCATATAAGAGAAGACACTAGGTGCATGTGTCTCAAACGGCAGTAAAATATGAAGCAATATAAGTTATAGAGTTAAAGACCTTATTTTTAAACAATTTTGATGAGCATAATAAAAAGGTCATTAGAGGACAAAATTGAGAACCCTGGATGACATGATTCCTAAATGCTTCAATATAGATAACTATCCAGGAGAAAGAAAGTGTTGTAAAAATCAACGAAAAAAATGAAAACATACATAATATAAATGAAAAAATTATTATTACTTTTTTGTTATTATTTAATTAAACTATGCTCATTCAAATATACTTTACATATTTTTTTATTATTATAATTAGAACTCGGAATTATATGTATTTATAAATTTTGTTTGAGCCATTTTGAAAGATCTCATGTTTGTGCAATTTTGTCGTAGGGTGACATAAGAACGTTGAAATATATCTTTCATTTTAGAGAGAATTAATTCTTCCAATCACTCCAAAACTAACCTCGGTAACTACACATTACTAAGTTTTTGGGTGAATTAATAAAAATTTGTATCGGTCAATGGTGTGTTAGAAATAACATAATTTTTGATAATTGTCTCTATTGTGTTACTATATATTACATTGGTATATTATTAAAAACTGCATATTCCAGAAATTTATAAATGAATTCTTAAAAATAAATATAAAAATATCGTCTTGATTTGTTGTAAAATATAGCGATTCAACGATAAAATCGGACTAACTATATCGATATAAATTGTAAATATATATATATAAAAAAAAAAATAATAATAATCGATAATATTTTACATTTATACATATCGCACATCATTAACTCTAAATTAAATCTGGTTAAAAAAAAAATTAGGTATTATATTTGCTATAAAAATATATATTTTTAATCCAAGATGTATAATAATCCTCTTCTTTAAAAATTCGGCATAAATGCATTTGTCCGTCGAGTTTTCTTGAACAATAAATTTACTTCTAATTATTTCTAATTTTAATTTATCATGAATAGTCTAAGATGTAAATAAATTGAAATATGCAATATGAAACTACTGTTAGTCTATTATTCAAATACATCTTTATCATTTTCTTTAATTCATAAGATTATTGAAAACATTTTAGTTCACAATTGAATAGTCAATTTATTAATTGTAAAACGAAGGAGAATCACCAGAAATAGTGAAATTCATAATTTATTCTGTAAAACAAAATACATCTTTGGATATTGTATAGTTATTGAAATGTTCCAGAAACAAATGTAAGTCTAATGGGATCACAACGTAGCCATAACAGCATTTAAGTTACTTATCACGTAATACCAGTTATCAGCTTCATATGGTTTTTGTATAAAAAAAATCCTTAACATTGTTAAAATATACTATTATATTGTATTATCAAGCTACTGCAAATTGTGACAGTGGCTGTCGATCGGAGATAGTTGATACATTTTATCTTAGTTTTATTTTCTTTACAATATGTACAAATGTTTGAACTTGATATTCGTAGTAAACTAATATCTTTTTAATTTTTTTTTTTGAAAGTATAATTTTTATAGAGTATAAGTAAAAATATATTCTTTATTGACCAAAAGTATAAATTTATTACTTGGAAAATATTGTTTCTAAGGTTCTAATATTTATAATTTAAGTGGTAATGGTTGTTTTAGGCGAACATCCTATTAGAAAAAATATAGCAAAAACCTATAAACTGGTAAGAAAATTTAACTCTTTAATTTATATTGAGTTAAAAAATTGTATATTATCTCAATTAAAATAATAAGGTTTTAATGATTTTAAATGCCAGAATCACTCAAAGAACAGGTGGTTTATCGGTGTTTATTTCTTAATGAATAACATAAAACTATAATTGTTAGTTTTCACCAATAAATTCGTGTAAAATTATTTTGTGTAAATAACAAAATTATGTTTATCAAATTGATTTACTACAGTTTTGCTTCTGTTTTAGTCATATAAAGTACTTTTTAAAGTTTTGAAACCACTGACCACTTGAGATATTATCAGTTATATTTTAAACTTAACATTATTTCTATATTCTGTAATTATTAATTATTATGACTTACTTACAAAATCAAATAAATATTGTGCAAGAGTAATACTTACAATAATAATACATTCTGAATTATTTCATGTCTGCTATTATTATTATAGAATATATTGATTGTTTTTTGATTTCTTGTTTATATTTATCAGTGTAGTATAATAAATTAAAAGTACTACAAATACCTCATTTGTTGAGATTAATTTTTAATAAATTTGACATTTACACAAATTAAAACATGGAAAAACTTATTCATGAACTGTTTGGTAATATTTCAAATTATTTAAACATAAATGTATATAATTATTTTAAACTTTCATACTGATAAAATTTGTTTTTAATCAACCTACTAAATGCCATATATATTAGAGTCTAATCTGATAACTTTTTTAAACTAAAAAATCAAATGTTAAATTAAAAAAAAAAATAAAACAAAGTTTTCATTATGATTTATATGAGTGTAATTGTTTAAAATGTCAATTAATATTGAAATAAAAGTTATTTAATGAAATTGTAATTAAAATATCAAATATATTACTTATTTTTTATAAAAAATTTTGAGTTAATATCCAATTAAATTTATTTTCAAGTTTATAAATTCAATTTATTTTCTAAATACCCAAAGTATATCAAATTTCAAAATTGATATTGAGCTGCATATTAGATTTTACTTTATACTACAATCAGTAAAAGATTTATAATTTTTAACTGTTTTTTAAAGAGTTCATTTTAATTTAGAATTATGGTTCTCAAAAAATATGGAAAATTTACCATTGACAAGTAATGATTTTCCAATAAAAATTTCTACCTATCAGGCATTAACACAGGTATTGTAGATATTATTGCTATATGTATTATTACAAGAGGATAGATTGTGGATAAACCTTTTTTTCCTTATTGTACTTGTTTTGTCTATTATTTCTATTGATGTTATGTATTATGTGTGTACTTATTATGATGAATGTCTATTATTTTTATTAATTGTTTTAACTTATGTAGAATAGAGACTATTATATAATTACAGTATAAATTCTTGTTTTTTTTAAAGTATTTTTTGACCTACTCCCTTTAATGACTAACTTTTTAAAAAATATTTTGAAATAATGTGTAATAGTTATTTTGTAATTACTAAAGTAAAATTCTGAAATCTTAAGTTTGTTTAGAGTAGGATAGTGACTTAAATTATTGATCTTATATTATCATACCCAGTAAACAAAGCTATTTATGATTGATGTTAAACATAAATTATTGATGAACACACGAGGTTCCCTAATTCATTTGAACATTTATTAATTAATTAAATTAATTAAATTAGTTATTAAATAAGTAATTTTATAAATGTATTCATATAAACACAATCCATCAACAAATCATAAATACTTCTATAAAACAATAAATTTATGAAATATAAATTTTATTTTATGAAAAATATTTAGATATTTTATTCTAATATAAAATATGCTTATTTTAATTTCTATGTTTTATTTAAAAATTTTATAGGTTAAGGATTTATCATTTCTATTGTGTTAAGAAAAATTTAACTGTATCTATTATTCTGCATAGGTTATTGCAAATTAACTCACTTTATTTAGATTGCTTTGCATTTGCACATTTTCAAGTAGTACAAAGGGTTTGGTTTATCATAAACCACTAGATAAAAAAATATAAATATAATATTTGAAAAAAAATTTTTTGGTTTCTTTTAGTTACATATATTTCTTAATTTATCAGTTAATAATAACTGTTTAGAATCATTCTTTATAACTTAAAGGGATGTTTATTTTATTTTTTTAAATGGCAACATACATATTTAACTAGATTATAAAATAAAAAATTAACGAATTAAAAAAATGACTGGTCGATAACAATATCTGAATCAGTATTTTGCTAGTTATTCTTGTTTTTATACCTAGGTGGGAGGAAAAGTAAAGCCAAGAAATGACAAGTGATAAAAATAGTTGATAAATCAAGAAATATATGTAACTAAAAAACAGAACATTTTTTTTTTCAATAATGTATTTTGAGAGTAATGGAGTGGTTTATGATAAATCAGTTACCCTGTATATTAAAAAAAGGGTCCAGATTTTTATGCAAAAAATATTGGATTACATACATGTGAAATATAAAAAATATACAAAAACATAAAAATAGAATCTACACATTGCAAAACACCCATTTTATTCAAAATTATTTTAGCCAGGTTATTGAAGAATATCCATAGTTTTCAATTTCTTACCTTGTACAAGAAGTTTTATAAAGTGACTCAATTAATTGTTCGGTAATTTTTTTTGATAAAATTATGATACTCAAGAATTAAGCAGGATTTTAGGAAAGAAGTTTTTAATATTTGTAAATAATAAATAAGTGGTACCCATTATTTTACATTTTATACATTCTTTGCATATTTTATCACAACACCATCAAATATTCTTTTTATACTATGCTATGAGATAAATTTGTCAAGCACCACAAAATAAAAAAGTAGTTGGCTATTTTATTAAAAACTTAATAAAAAAAATAAACAGGATAATAAATTAATTTTTAGTCAAGATGAAGATTTAGTTGATCAAGAATAATCTTTACTATTTTTTGCTATTATGCAAAGTGCTTAGTAAATTATAATATAAATTAAAATAATCTATCTTTTTATTGAAAGTTAGATAATTTTCATTATTTTTATGTGTTTAAAAATATAAGAATTTTCAGATATTATTTTATTTATTTTTTAGAATCGTTTTCTTATGTTACATATCAAAGTTACGATTATTTTTAAAATAATACTAATAAAAATTTCATATTTTATAAATATGATAACAATGTATTGTTTTAATGATTAATTTAAGATTTTTTTTTTGCTTTGATTTTAGTACGCTAACTTGCTTTTGGTTTTAGCATATTGTAATACATAGCCACATTGAGATTATTTTAAGTATTAGTTTGATTACTTTTTATCTTATCAAAGTTACATTTTCAAAATTATATTTGCAATGACAGTAAGTATTTTTTAGCTTCATAATATTATAATTGATCAATTTACAGCAAAAGCTAACCAAAACTCATAAAAATATTTAAAAATTAAATTATTAAATTTTAAAGAATAAAACTTAGAAATAAACTGAGAGTTGGTTTTCTATTGCATAATACTATTCAAATTAAGCTTCTCATATATATATATTTTAATTACTTATAAGATTGTACTTCTTTTATAGGTAAAGAAATTAACTGATAGAGGTTTAGGAATAAATTCTGATGATGATATGGTAAATATTACATCAGAAAGAATGAATGATCATTCTTTACACCAACAGTCACCTATTCATTCGCCTGGTAATTTTTATTCGTATTAAATTAATATAATACTTATATATCATTTCTTACAAAATTGATTTTGTTTAAAAATATGTGTGACATGTATTATGATTTTATATGAGGGAAGGGGAAATATCAAATTAATTTTGCTATCACTTTTTTCGTTAATTTTTACATTAAATTTATGTATTCAACAGTATAAAATGACTTAGTCTTTTAAATTCTTTTAAATTAAAGCATATAAATTAACTAAAAAAAAAATCAAAAAAAAATAATTTTGCTTTTGAACTTCTTTAATATGTATGTTTTCTTTATAATCTAAAGACAATTAGTGTAGATTAATAAATAATAATTAATTATAAAATATAATTGTTGTAAAAGAGGTCTTTAAAATTTAAAGGAATTGATGTCATTTTTGGAGGAACAGTAAATTATGGTGAGTAATTGGTGTAATTTTAGAAGTAATATTTTGTTTTATATGTTTATATACCTAACTAAAGAAAATGATTAAATGACGAGGAGTTTTGACAATTTTTAGAATTTAGCTTTTTAAAATAGTTTTTAGAATTAGTTTTATAAAAAATTATTCATTTTTAAAACAGCTACAGATTCTATTTAAATTTCTCTAAGTAGTAGTAGACATTGCTTTAGATTGTAAGGGTAGAATATGGAGATAGAGCATGCTACTTTTAAAAGTTGCTACCTTAAGAATACCAATTGTATCTTTAAATATACAATTATACTGAAGAGCTAAAATAAAAATCTAATGTCTCATATTAAATTTTGAGAGGTAGTAACACTTTTTTAAATTGCATGAGATTACCACTATAATTAATTTAGCTATAATGGAAAACATTCATACAATATTCTGACTACTTTTATTAAAGTAATCAGAATATTATAGATACCATGATAAAATAATCAAAAATTTGATGATATGCGATGTTATTAATAGCATAACAAAATAAATTATTTAAAAAAAATATCTGTCAAAATAGCATGATTGATTTATATATTTTAACTTTAAAATTATTTTTTTTTGGTAATGTTTGTTTTTTTATATTTTTGTAAAGATTGAATTATAATTTATGATTTTTGTCCTAGTTCTTCTTATTAATCTTTAAATTTAGGATCTGGTGATGCTGATGACATACCTGGTATTGGTCAGTATGAAGATTTTCACACCATAGATTGGCAACGAGATGTTGCACGTGATCGTTTACGTCATCGACATATTTTGAAGCACAAAGACAATTCTTTTATAGATGTAGTATGTTTTTTTTTTTGCTGTTAAAAAAACTAATTTCTCACTACTTTGAAATTATAATGCTTGTAATTTCTATAGATAAAAGCAGCTCATGATGCATGGTCTGGGTGGCTTTGTGTACTATTAGTAGGTTTAGTAACTGGTACTGTTGCAGCAATAATTGATATTGGAACATCATGGATGTCAGATTTAAAATTTGGTATCTGCCCTCAAGCTTTTTGGTTAAATATGGAACAATGCTGTTGGTCTTCAAATGAAACTTCTTTTGAATTTGATAAAGGAAACTGTTCTCAGGTTGTTTAAATTTATCAAGTAAAATTATTATACTAATAAATTTTCAGTACATTTAATTCATTAGTAAGAGACAACCTTCAATCGTTAAACTCATTAAATTAGTTTATTTAACTATAATAAATTATAACTGCTTCATTAGTTTAAATTATATTGTATGGATAAACTTTCATATTATTTTTTATAGTTTGTACAAACATCATCATTATTAATTGTATTTAATAAATATTTACCTGAGTAATAATGAAACGTGTGAAACCATTTTTGATAAATTGCTTATTATAACTGTTTTATGTAATTTAATAGTTTTTAGTTACTCAAAAATATATTTTACAAAATATAGTTTTTCAATTTCTTTTTTATTTTGTAATTTTAATGCAATTAACAAGGTATTACAGAACATATAGCATTAGACACAAACTTTTTAAGTATAATACTTCTAATATTAAATACTATTTATTAATTTCTTAATAATTATTAATGTTATGTTTTTATGACTGCTATTATATTTAATTATTTTCAGTGGTTCTATTGGTCTGAAATATTTACTTCATCAAATGGAACTTTTGCCTACATAGTATCTTACATTTTTTACATAATGTGGGCTCTATTATTTGCTGCATTAGCTGCAGGCTTAGTTAGAATGTTTGCTCCTTATGCTTGTGGTTCAGGTATACCAGAGGTAAGAATTATTAATAAAAAGAGTAGTCTCAATAGATGAATGTTAATAATTTAAACAATTTTTTAATATCATTATATTATCCTAAAATAAAAGAGTAATAAAATAATTAAAATGTTCTCATATTTATATAAATAAAATTATTGAATTTTGATATTTCAGATAAAAACAATTTTAAGTGGTTTCATTATAAGAGGATACCTCGGGAAATGGACACTTCTTATTAAGTCTGTAGGAATTATGATGAGTGTATCTGCTGGACTTAGTCTAGGAAAAGAAGGTCCTATGGTACATATAGCTTCATGCATTGGTAAATTAGTATTATAATTGATAATCTTACACAAATGTAATGTTAATATTTGATTTAAATAGGTAATATCTTATCTTATTTGTTTCCAAAATATGGCCGTAATGAAGCTAAAAAAAGAGAAATATTATCTGCAGCCGCTGCTGCTGGTGTATCAGTTGCTTTTGGTGCTCCAATTGGCGGAGTACTTTTTAGTTTAGAAGAGGTTAAATTATTACATACATTTTTTTAATTAATTGTAAATAATAATTTATGTAATTTTTAAGGTCAGTTATTATTTCCCTTTAAAAACGTTATGGCGATCATTCTTTTGTGCACTTGTTGCTGCTTTTGTTCTTAGTTCAATTAATCCATTTGGCAATGCTCATTCTGTAATGTTTTATGTGGAATACCATAGACCTTGGATGTTTTTTGAACTAGTTCCATTCATTGGATTGGGAATAATTGGAGTAATTATATTTAATTATGTTTCATATTAAATAATAGCAGTTTAATCTTTTTTACTTATTTTTAATTTATACTGTTCAAAATTTTAAAAGCTACAGTGTAAAATAGTAAAAAACAACACTTAATGAATTTGTAAAAAAAAAAAATGCTTCAATATTTTGTATCAAGGTTTTGATTGAAGGTTAATAATACTATAAAATAATGTAAAAAAAATTACAAGTAATTGTAATGTAAAGATTTGTATTGTACTCTTAAATAATGTTAATTTGCTTAAGATACAATTGAAAATTTAAATTTGCTTTTGCTCTTGTAAAAAATTGCTAAAATTATGTTTTTACCAACCACTGTAATTCTAATTAGTAATTTATATTTCAGGGTGTTATTGCTACTATATTTATTAAATGCAATATCAGGTGGTGTCGTTATCGAAAAACATCAGTTCTTGGACAATATCCTGTTATAGAAGTATTAGTTCTTACAGCTATTACAGCAATTCTTTCTTACCCAAACCCATATACTCGTATGAGTATGAGTCAGTTAATTTATTTATTATTTAGTCAGTGTGATGTATCCAGTCATGATAGTCTTTGGTAAGTATTATGAAGTAATAATACATATTAATTATCCTAAAAATGAAAACAAGATATATATCTAGAAAATTCATATAGTTAAAAACAAAGCCTCTTGCACATTATTTGACTGTGATTGTGCAACTCTAATGGATTTACCTAATGTGAACTTGACACGATAGTAGAATGTTAATAATAAATAATAAAATCGTAACTGTGTTTGATGTGATGGTCGAGTCAGTTTATTTAACCTTAAGTATAATAATGTTATTAAAATTCTGCAAAATATGGATTACAATATTAAGGTCTGGTATATAGTTCGATGACACGTGCGGCAGAAGTCAGTCACAGATGAACTGGTTTACATAGTCGCCGATGTGTCTCGCGGTGCTGCGCTCCTCTGACCTATCCTATCTACTGACTGCCGGACAAGACGAATATAGTGTTATCGTCAACACTAACGAGTGCGACAGTGGACAGCTGATAATCACGACCGTATAACGTGCTAATTCACTGTAAATGAATAGTGCACTATTACGGGCCATGTCAAACTGTTTCTATGTTAGAATTATCTAGAAAATATAGGTGATTTCAAAATATCAACAGAGTCTAAATTTTTAAGTATATTATACAAAATCTTATTAATTTTCTATTTTATAAAAGTATTACTAGAGTTGTACATTTGTGTTGATGTCATAAAAAAATATTTGATGATCTGACTGTGGTGTTAATAATAATAGTAGTATAATACTATTCTAACTAAGGTATAATATTGATTATCACTAAAATTATCTAGGGTAAAGATTATAGTATATTTTATGTGTAACCAGTCATTTTTTTAAAAATAGTTAACATGTTTTCTACTACATTTGAAGCTTTAAAGATAAATAGTTATCTGGTATTTAATTTGAGTGAGCTGGTATTCATCTGCACTATTCATTATTTAAAATTTTATGTTATTTGTAAAACTTTGCAAGTATTTTATGTTGCTTAATATTAAAATTATTACATTTATAATATAAGTTTAAATTTTATTGAGCTGTTGCATTTTTAGTGATTATACAAATGATAAAGCAAATTTAGCTGGACCTGGAGTTTACAGAGCTATGATACTTCTTTCAATGGCATTCATTTTGAAATTAATTACTACCATTTTTACTTTTGGTATTAAGGTTGTATAAATTAATTTTTATAAATTGACATTGTTAAATTACAATACTTTATTTTAAAACTACAGGTACCATGTGGTTTGTTTATTCCTAGTTTATTCTTAGGAGGAATTGCTGGCCGAATAGTTGGTATTTTTATGCAACAATTAGCTGCTACTCATCCTCATTTATGGTTTTTTGATAACAGTTGTGGATTACCAGGCCAAGAAGATTGTATTACTCCTGGTTTATATGCTATGGTTGGAGCAGCTGCAGTATTAGGGGGTGTAACACGGATGACAGGTTGCAATAATATTAAAAATTAACCATTAATTTAAAATAGTAAATAGTAAATCATTTTATTCTGCATTCTTAGTTTCATTGGTTGTTATTATGTTTGAACTAACTGGAGGTGTTAGATATATTGTGCCATTGATGGCAGCTGTTATGGCTAGCAAATGGGTTGGTGATGCTTTAGGAAAGGAAGGAATGTATGATGCTCATATTCAACTAAATGGATATCCATTCTTGGATAGTAAAGAAGAAATTGTACATACAACTATAGCTGCAGATGTTATGCAACCAAAGTTAGTTTAATATTAAATTAATAAATATTGTTAATTTATATATTTTATATTATAGACAAGCTGAACATTTGCAAGTTCTTACTCAATCTTCAATGTCATTCGAAGATATTGAAACACTTTTAAAAGAAACTGAACATAATGGTTTTCCAGTTGTAGTGTCTAAAGAATCTCAATACCTAGTTGGTTATGTTTTACGTAGAGATCTACATTTAGCTCTTGGTAAATGTTTAAACTGTAAAAAATGTAAACTTTAAAAAAATGTACAAACTGGATTTTTTTTAGAAAATGCTAAAAAAACAATGGATGGGTGTCTATCGGAATCGTTAGTTATATTTACTGATGTTACTCAACAAATTTTACCACCTCCTCTTAAATTAAAAAAAATATTGGATATGGCTCCAATAACCATCACTGACCAAACACCTATGGAAACTGTTATTGATATGTTCAGAAAACTTGGTCTGAGACAAACATTAGTAACACATAATGGGTTAGTTTTATTACATAATATACAAATTGTTCCTTCTGTTTTGACAAATTCTATAACTTTTGATCCTTTAAATATTTTTTGTTACTTTCTTTTTTAAAATTTTGTTGGAGTATAGGGTTATAATAATATCATAAAATATATATTATTTTTTTATTTTGAAATTAAAAATAGTAGTTTTATAAAGTATATTATAAAAAAAAAATTGTAACAAAATAATTTTTTGATGAATTTTAATGAAGAGATTTTATTTCTAATTTTTTTTTTTTTAATTTTTCTTATCTTTCAAAAAAATGTTATATAAAAAAAAAAATAATATATATTTTATATTATTATAGTCCTATACTCCAAATAAATTTTAAAGAAGAAAGTAACAAAAAATATACAGTTGTTCAAAAGTTATAATTTTGTCAGAACAGGATAACATCTCAGTAGAAATTTGTTATTTATATTAATGTATGTAATTATTTAGGAGATTATTAGGTGTAATAACAAAAAAAGATATTTTACGATATATCAAACATATGGACAATGAAGATCCTAGCTCAGTACTTTTTAACTAAATAGTCTAATTGAAATTAATTATTATTATAAAAATCAATTTAGCCACAAATTAATTTGTTTAACTGTTTTGTATCATTTAGCAATGATAAATATTTTATTTGTCTTGGATTCTATTATTAAACTTTGTAATATAATTTTCAAAGATATCTGTTTAATAAAATCAAAGAATCATAATAATATAATTATTTAACTGTCTTAATTATTTGTTTGATATTGTAAAAGAGTAAATCAGAAAGTTTTGAATTATGTTATGATTCTTAAAAGTATTGTTAGTTAAGAACTCAAGTTAAAATTGAAATTAAGATGAAACGCCTACTAGATTCCATTTATTTAAATTTGTATTGTTATTTAAAACAGTATTTAGTTAGCCTCATATATCTTAATAATGAAAATACTATAGATAAAATATTAATGTTATTCAATTAATTGTATAATATACATGGATTTATTTAATATAAATTTTAATGTAAATATATGTTTTGGTATATTTTTTGAACCTATAGATATCATCATTTTACTAAAAAGAACAGTAAAATAATAGGTTTGTGTTATTATATCTCATTTTTATATTGTAATAATATAACTCATCCAATTTAAATTAAGATTTTTAGATGTGATTTGAAGTTAAAATTTATTTTTGTTATTATTTTATTTATGTATTATTTATTATTGATTACTTTGTGTATAATTAAAGCCTGAACAAATGGCAGCTCTTAATGGTATTTTAATCTACTTAGTCATTTATTTTATTAAAAAGATTTTATTATTTAAATTTGATATACCTAAATTGGTAAAACTTTTTCAAAACTGTAGATTATATATTTTATAAATACAGATCATTATAATTGATATTAAGTGTTATATTGTGTTTAATTTTTTGTTTTATTTAAAAGTAGTAAACATTAAAATAGTATAAATTTAATATAAATATTATATTTTTGTTATAAAACTATATTTTATCAATTACAAAAATTTACTTCTAAAATATCAAACCTGCAACTTTAAAAAGTTATAAATAAATAATGATTGGAATAATAATAATCAATTTTCCTGCAATAAACAAAATTGTTAAAATTTAATCATAGTAGTTATTTAATAACTAATTTTTTATGAACAGATAAAATAAAATTTATACTGTTCTGTTGTTACGAAAAAATAAAGGATAAATAAATATAGTTTTAAAAAACTGAAAAACACGCTTTTAAAGCATATCGAACTAAAAAGTTAACAATGATTTTTAAAATAAGTTTAAAACAATAATGTACAAAAAATACTAGTATTATTGTGAGAAAAAATCGCTCAATATACGAAAAATATGGCACAAAGCACCCACGCTTTTTTTCACAACAATACCAGAATTTTTTGTACATTATTGTTTTAAGCTTATTTAAAAATTTTTAGTTCGATATGCTTTAAAAGCGTGTTTTTCAGTTTTTTAAAACTATTTATTTTTTACTTTTTAGTTATTTATGACATCGCTATAACAGTCACGGAGTGTTTATTGTAAATAATGACTATCAATAGATATAATTTCTGTGTTGCCAGTTAGTGTGTTTAAAAATTCACAACGATGTGATTTATGACCATTGATAATACCTGCGAATATCGTTATAAAAAACCAATTAGCTACCTGTATTTGTATTCCCTTATAATATATACACGTATATTGACTCAAAAAAAATTGAATTTTTAAATGTTTATATCTAATAATAAATAATACAAATTTGTTTATATATATATATATAATATTGATAATACACACGTATGTAAGGGTACGAAATATACAGGAGTTTGCTCGTTTAAAGAGATTAACTAAAAATTACGCAAAATTACACGTTAATCCATACATGTGGCTTGTAGAGCAAGTCATTAGCTATACTATGAAAAAAAAAAATTTTGCGCTCGATAATATTTGAACTGTACATACTGCATTTACCTAGAATAAACGAGTATTTTCCTAAAAATCTTATGTTTTACAGGATTTTTACTCTATAAATAAAATTAGTCATTATTTATTATTAATTGTTATACGATTACATAGATATATAAATATGAATATTTTAGTTTTATACATTTAAAAAATAATTATGCAATATGGTAAGATGTTAGTAATATTCCCTCATAATGATGACAACTATAAAGAAGATGAATAAAATGATTCATTTTCAGACATGAATTTATCAATGGCATAATTATTTTTTAAATGTATAAAACTAAAATATTCATTTTTTTTTTTCATAGTATAGCTAATGACTTGCTCTACAAGCCACATGTATGGATTAACGTGTAATTTTGCGTAATTTTTAGTTAATCTCTTTAAACGAGCAAACTAGAGAAAAAAACGAAAAATTTCGATTTTTTTTTAAGTATAAATATGTTTAATTCCACAAAAATAAAAAAAAATCTTTTTTTTTCTTTTTCATTTGAAAAAGGATATCTTTTTTAATAGGAATAAAAAATTTTTTTAATTTTAAATTATTTTTTAAGGCATAAAAAAAATGTACAAAAATAAACTCAAAATAACTGAAAATACGGAAAAATTTTAGAAGTATAACATTAAAATAGCTCTACATCTTTACTAAATCAACTTATGCCCTTGTAAATTTGTATTAAAACCCTTAAGTATGATATTAATGTGTTTTGCTAAAAAAAAAAAATTTAAGTGACTTTAAAAAAATGATACTTTTGGCCGCCTAAATCGGCGTTTCATTCCACTGTGGGCCATAGACAACGCAATACGCGAGAATAATAACGAGTGGCGCGTGGAGAGTTACATACAAAACACAACATACATATGACACTAATATATGCGTGTTAAAAATGATTATGAAGAGGAAGCTTAGGAGTAACGTCAATGGTAGATAAGATAAGAGAAAATAGGATTAGAAGGTTTGGTTATGTAATGAAAAGAAATATAGTAACTCAAAATGAAATATAAATTAGTTAAACGGGTGGTTGTTTTGTATGAGCATGAGAATGATCGAGTTACTATGTGTTTATTAAATAAAATGATATAATATAATTTTCTCTAGGGGTACGAGTACGAGAATTTTATGAGAAGATGTAAAATATAGAAAAACCAAGTTATGTTTGAATATTTATTAATATAATAATAATTTCAAATAGAAATTATTGTGATTAATTATCACACATTAAGTATCAATAACGCTACTCTTACCAATAGTTATCTAAGCTTGTGCTGACTGTGAGTCTTGTCAATAAATACCTCGAGTTATATAGGAACTACAAGTAGGTTTTCTATCTCCACGAAAGAGTTTTTATTCGTATTGTCCACACAGGTAATTTACTCAAAGATTGGACTGGGCTGGTTAACTTCGTACAAACGTTATCGATTTAATTTATTTAAACAATATTTCATTCTAGCGATCACTTAATTTTTCTGATGAGTAGAAAAATCCAAGTAGTTTGAAAAAAGGTATAAAAAATTATATTGTTATTATTCTTATTTTTTAATTCTTTTAGAAAGAATTATTTAAAATTAATTTACAGTGATGTATAAATAAAATGGCCTGAAGGATTAGGAGGTCTTTTTATTGGATGTTCTTCATATAAATTGATGCCATTTGACCTATAAAAAGTTGTTTTTATCACTTGTTTTCTTCTATGTTTTGGTCCAATCATTTTGGTCCAGTTTTTAATTTTCCATCCATATTTATAATTATTAGTTGGGCTGAAATAATATTTTTCTTCGGGTGAAAGTTGACCTCTAATTTTTAAATATTTATATCGTCCTGCATCTTTACTTACACCTAAAAATGTTTATACATTTAAATTGTAGAATTTAACACTTATATTATAGAGAAGTAATTGTAAACAAATTTGATATTTTATATCAAATGAACAAATGTGATTTTGAGTTTTATAATATTATATTAATTAACATACTTTCATTCACAAATTATTTTGATTTAACAATTCTTGAGTTTATTATAAAAATGTTATAAATTCAAAAATGAGATTTTAAAAAATTGACCTAACAACTTTTATTAATTGTATGCTTATAATTAAAATTAAAGCCACGATTTTTATTTAAATTAAATATAAATATTATTGAAACATGATTTGTCGATAATTATAACATAAATATTATTTTAAGAGGCTTTCTTACCTGGTTTACAATTACCTTTGATAAATGTCATTATAGATTAATTTTATAGATGCATTTAGATCATTTAAAATATTCAAATTGTATTTTTACAAATATTACTTCATTGTTTTAGCAGATCTATTTAAAAAATGAAAAATAAATCTTATAGCTGAACAATTTCAAGATTCATTTTGCTTTGTTGCTATAAAATATGAGTTAATACTTAAAAATGAAATAACTGATTGTTAAGTAATAGACTTAAACAAATAATTTATATACATTTGTTTAAAAAATCTTACATCATAACTATTTATTGATATTTACTTCGAACTAGTGAGAAACATGCAAAATATTTAGAATTAACTTTAAAGCTTTTTATAAATAAAATAATGCATTTCATTATTTGTGTAATCTTTAAAATATATATTATAATAGAATTAAAGGATAAAAATTTTATTAAATTTAAATTAAAACTTGTTATTGTAATTAAAAAAAAAGTTTGCAAAAAGCATTTACAATTAGTCCATTTTACCCTACCATTGAGTAGTTCTTTCATAACGTCTTCCGGAACAGGGAACATATTGGGTAAAATTGCTATTTCTTTGATGCATTGTTCATTATTTTTATTTTTAAATTGATTATCAATATCTTTTTGATATACTTGTAGCTTTTTGTATATTTCTTTACTACTTTCTCGCATTTCTTGAATTTCTTCAAACAATTCACCCATTTTAGATGAACTGAGTACTTTAGGTTTCTCTGGATTTTGAAACAATTTTTCATAATTTTTAATGAACCAATTCATTCTTATTAACTTGATTTTATTTTCTACCTGCTGCATCTGCAATTTATGTCTTATTTCTGAAAGTGACATATTTAGTTATTTGAAAGACAAATTTTAAAATTGAAAAAATAAAAATTTTTTGTTCTATTATTATTTATTTAGGATTACTAAAATATATTATATCAGCCAGTTTTTATTTATAATAAGAAGTTTTGTTATTTTACATAAAACCAAGTTNTAGGATTACTAAAATATATTATATCAGCCAGTTTTTATTTATAATAAGAAGTTTTGTTATTTTACATAAAACCAGGTTTATTTCATACCCTACAATGTTAATTAAGTAGAATTAGAACTCTTAAGCTCTTAAACTTAAGCGATTTTAAATAAGACTTATTTAGTAGCCTCCACTTTATATTGTTTGTATAATCTTACAATATAGCATTGTTTTAAATAAATGGGGTTTATTGCTTTGATTATTTTTTGTAATATATTTGATTAATTTATTAATTTAATTTATACGTATATATAATATATGATTAATTTACACATATTATTATTTATAATAAATTTAGGGCGAGGAAAAAAATTAACTTAACCTCTTCCAAATTTTTTCATAAATTTGCGCCTATGAAAAATGTTTTTTTTTCTTTTGATAAACAACTGTAGTTTATGGATAATAATTTGTAATTATAATTTACTCTTTGAACCTGATTGTGTTTTTATATTAATTATTTGATAAGAAAATATAGAATAGATTTGACTTTTCACACTAATATATTATATCACTAATAGTATTAATTTTATCAATACTATTAAGTTAAAAAATATTTTATGTTTTAAATATTACTAACACCTAGTATTGAGAATTCATCTAATACTAATAATTTTTGTTTAATTATTAAGAAAATTGTATATATTACAATGAGGCAAGAACTAATTATTCGAAGAGGTTATGAAGAAGACTGCGAAGAACTTTACAACATGGTTTATGTAAGTGTCATACTTATTAGAATTTTCTTCATTATTTTATTGATTTTTAATTTTTATTAAATGTACTTCTATAACTAAAATTTAAAAATTTATAAAATGTATACACTTTAAAAAATGTAGGTTAGTGAATGTCTTATTAGTATCATTGCTTTTGTTGTCTTAAATATATTTTTTATAAGATTTTAATACATAGAATTATTATAGATCGACAACTTTATGATACTATTTTGAAATAGCACTTTGTAAAAATGGATTTGAGGGTTATGATAATTGATTCTGTTGGCGAGGTACAAAGACTAACGCCATCACTGTAAAATTACTTATTTTATGGAATTTCATTTGACATTTTTTTGACAAATATATTTTGTATTTTACAAAAATCATAATTTTTGAGGTTTATTTAGGTTTTAAGTTACTTAAGCAAATTAATTTTTATGTTAGAAATTACCAGCTCTATTTTTTGAGAGCCAATAACTAAATAAAATATAGTGCGAGTACTTTAAATTATTAATAACTTATTATTAAAAACTATGAAATACTGGTTCAAAATTTGCTATCGACTAATCATTTTTTTAATTAGATCGTTATCTAATAATAAGCCAGTTGTAGGATTTATGTATATTACTATTTAAAAATATAAAACTAACACCTTTATGAGGTATAGAGAATGAACATAAAAAATACTTTATGATTGATAAATTGAAAAAACGTGCTTAAAAAGTATGTATTAAGGAAATGAAATAAAATAAAAATTATCAATGTTATTTTTATTTTTCGATTAAATAAGTGGTTTGTTTAATTATGATAACTGTACATAGTTGCTCTTATGTTGTATGTTGTTTTGAATAGGAACTTTGGGAGTATGAAAGGATTTCAATGACAAAAGATATTAATGTTCAAGGTAAGCCCTTTTTTGAAATAAGTTTATTTTATACTCAAAAAGTGAAGAATTTTAAAATTTTGATGACATTTCGTTTCTTTGCACATGGAGTATTGGCTAGCGTAACATAATGTATTGCCAAATAGTGTCGTCCGCAGGAATTTTTCAAAAGGGTTGTCACAAAGTATATGCGTGAATAACCTTTCTTTAAAATAAAATCTGGTAGATAATAATAATGATAATTAGCGTTGGGAAAATCTAAATAATCATATATATATTTTTATCTAGTAAAATAAAAAATCTTATTCTATCAAAATGACTTTATTTATCTAAACGTCATCTAAAATATTAGATACATCTAATTATTAAAAATTTAAATCTGAGGAGTGGGTGTTTCTATTTTTATCACTAGTCGTCTTCGGTCATACTCTTCATCCCGCCTAGGAATAAAAATAAGAATAATATTCAAAGAATTGGTCCAAAATTGTTATCGTATAGCTTAATTAGATCATTTTCTATTTTGTAAGTTAATTAAATATGTATGTTGTCATTAAAGAAAAACATTGACACCCCTATACGATATAAGGGATGATTTAAAAATTAATTATTAGATGATAAATCAAGAATTATATGTAACTAAAAGAAATAAAAATTATTTTTTAAGTATTATATTTTTTTACGAGTAATCGAATGGTTTATAATAAATCGAACACTCTGTAGATGTTCCGTTGCTATGAAAAACACTTTATAATTAGTTGTTATTAAAGAAAAATGTATAATTTTTGGCTTTAATGTCCGATAATGTTTGATTTATATTTGTGGCCTGTAGTACAAATCAAATTTATTATAAGAAACAGTGTACATTTTAGGGGTAACTTTTGAAAATTAAATAGGAATTTATTTTTATTTTTTACTTTTTTACTCGATTATTTTATGTGGAAAAGAGAGAGCGTAAAGCGAGTAAAAGATTGTAAAGTTTTACCAGGTGAGAGTGTAACTACACAACATAGACTGATGGTAATGAAGTTGTGGTGTACTGGAAAGAGAATAAACAAAATTAGAAGAAACACGCGGAAAAAGTCGAAGATCCGGTGGTGGAAATTGATAGGGGAAAATGAAAAAGAGTTTGTAAAGACGGTAAAAGAGAGGACGGTGTAGAATATCGAGGGAGACATAAATTATATGTGGAATAGATTTGTTAGTTGTGTAAAGAATACTGCAAAGGAGATTGTTGGTGAGAGCAGGAGTAGAATGCCAGGAAACAAGGAAACCTAGTGGTGGGATGAGGACGTTAAAAAAATAATAGAAATTAAGAAAAAGCAATTCAAAGTATGGCAGAAGAGCAAAAGGAGAGAAGATTGGATAGAGTATAAACGCTTGTGTAAAGAAGCCAAGTGTGCAGTAAGTAAGGCGAAGTTTAAGAGGTATGATGAGTTGTATGATAAGCTAGGAACAAAGGAAGGTGAAAAAGAAATCTATTGACTTGAAAAGGTAATAGAGGAAAGGTCTAAAGATTATCATTATAAAAGGTGTATAAAAAGGGTTGTTAATAAGATACTCTCTAGTAATGATGATGTTAAAAAAAGGAATGTGACAGCAATTTATCTAGATAATTTTTTTTATCTATATTTATATCTAATCTAAATAAGTTTTTGGTTTCTATTCCCAATTCTGATGATGACAATTATATTTTAGTTTGCAAAAAAGATATATTTTTTTCATTTATATTTACTAGGTAAAGGATTTTTTTAATCAACGTTTTATTATTTGAAAAGATATTTAAATCATAGAATGAAAATTATAACAAATGAAATATAGCACCTGTTTATGAGAGGTGTCTAAAACACTTGGATACCCCTCTTCAAATACGTCAAAACAGTGTTATAATGCGTATAATACTCATTATTCAGTAGTCAATAAATTATTGTTTATTAATCATCAAATTAAATATGTATTATTCATGTCAATCTTTTTAAATTAAGTGATCGCTAGGATAAAATATTGTTTAAATAAATTAAATCGATAACGTTTGTACGAAGTTAACCAGCCCAGTCCAATCTTTGAGTAAATTACCTGTGTGGACAATACGAATAAAAACTCTTTCGTGGAGATAGAAAACCTACTTGTAGTTCCTATATAACTCGAGGTATTTATTGACAAGACTCACAGTCAGCACAAGCTTAGATAACTATTGGTAAGAGTAGCGTTATTGATACTTAATGTGTGATAATTAATCACAATAATTTCTATTTGAAATTATTATTATATTAATAAATATTCAAACATAACTTGGTTTTTCTATATTTTACATCTTCTCATAAAATTCTCGTACTCGTACCCCTAGAGAAAATTATATTATATCGTTTTATTTAATAAACGCATAGTAACTCGATCATTCTCATGCTCATACAAAACAACCACCCGTTTAACTAATTTATATTTCATTTGAGTTATTATAACAGTGTAATAATTAGAAACTGAAAGAGCCTTAGATAACTGATTTTAGATCTAGATTCTTTTAAATTTATTTTTTAGAGTTGAAAGATTTTGGATTTTGTAATAACCCATGTTACCACTTTTATGTCGCCCAAGAGAAAAAGTATGTTCATTTATTTAACTAAATACTTATAAGTATAAAAAAAAACATACAGCCAACTGAGGGAGGCTGTATGTTTTTTGAAAGTTATTGTAGGAATTAAGATTTTTATAAATGCCAAAAATAAAATGAATATAGAAATTGATGTAGTGTTAAATAGTTTATACATGGGTTTTAGACTATATATTTAATTTTATCCTTGCGTAATTAGGCTCTCAGCAGAGTTAGGAATCGAAATTATTTCGTTTATAGAAAAATTGTTTATTTTTTTTTTATTTTTTCTACTTTTTTCAACAAATAATAAAAAAAAATTCGATATAGATAAGAAATTTACTTGATATAGTAAATAATATTTATAAATCGAAATTACTTCGGTTTTTAGCCTTATAAATTACAAATTATAGCGGACCTTTATTAATAATAATATTTCAGAACCGCGAGACTCCAGGGAACTGTTCTTGTGCTTCCCGTGATACTGACATCTTCAAGATTATTAAATCCTCTAGGTTATATTTATTAAATGACGTCAATGCTACCCATATAGCAGGAATGTCATTTCAGATTATATTTGACTGGGGCAAACTTTTGACCGATCCATCATTTCACAATGCCTTTTGATTCGTTCGAGATTTTTACCTCATAATAAAATTGAGAATTTATCAAATGTTATTGAGAAAAAAAATTTTTTTTTATCAAATTACATTTTATTTTCACTACAAAATTTAGATTGTTACTATGTTTTATAGATTACATTTAAGTGGCTCGGTATGTGCTGTAGAGTGCCCCTTATTTATAAAATTAAAAAATTACAAAGTGCCACCCCCTAGAATTATTTGAATACATAATAAAATAAATTGTACAAAATTTGGAGACGATTGGTCAACTTTAAGACGTGCCCCAAGGGGGTTAAAATAACTCCCCAAAGGTGATTTTTTAGTTTATTGTCTATCTCAAAAACTTTAGCTTTTGCGAAAAAGTTTATTTGGATTTTTTTGTAGTTATACAATTTTTCTATAAAAAATATATATACAAAATTTTTCGAAAAGTTCTTATTTAGCCCTAAAAAAATAAAAACGTATATGTTCTATTCTTACCGTTAAAATTGTTAATTTACAAATAGTTCATTGTAAAAACAAAAAAAAATTCATTTAACCGTTGTTTTTAATTTAATTTTCTATACATTTTTAACTCGACATTTTTTCTATTATTTACTATTCAAAACCTACAATTTTTTTAATTTTAATTAAAAAAAACACATCAGAGTAAAATTAATACCGTCTCAGCTTCACATTGAAGCTAATAATAATAGAAAAAATGTCAAATTAAAAATTTTTTATAATTTAATAATTCTAGGGGGTGACACTTTGTAATATTAAAAAAAAAAACCTCTCATGTAGCTAAGGGTCACCCTAATGTGCAGTCTAGTATAAGTATAGGTCAACTGGTTCCGAAATTCAATCAAAATTTAGATTGATGCAAATGGCCAAGTTGTCCCCCCAAAATGACGCATCTGTCATATAACTAGAACTAACAATCATCAATCTTCAATTGACTTATCCTTAGCTTCAGTCATCATTATGTGTGCCCATTTCATAGTTTGTTCTGGATGACTCTCATGGTAGTGATTATTTTCTTATCCGCCAGGATTTTATTCTTAATACAAACAATGCCCCAAGCTTAGGTATATCTTCCAATTCTAATGCATTTTCTAATACAAAACTGAACTATAAATTAAAATCTATAATAAAACCAATTGGAACTCATTCTCAATGTGTATAACCGAAAACCATACACATAAACTTCCTAAACACCTACTTCTGTACTATATATATTTGACTCCTATCCTGAAAAAATCAACATTCTAACAAACATCTTCTCGTGGAATCTTGACTGACCAACGTAGTAAAAACTCACAAATACTCTCTATTCAAAATCTTTTCACAAACAGGGTGTTTTAAAGATTACTTTAAATTAGTGGAGCCAACTCTACTACTACTTGTGTACTTAAAAATTCATGGAAACTAATATGCTGCCATCCTTCTCGTACAGAATGCTTTAAAAATGGCTAAAAATGATGATTTAAAATAAAGTCGGGTTGCCATTTGAAGATTTAAAGTTGATACAAGTTTAGAATATAAGGGACGGTAACAATAAATTAATTTTTAATATAAAGCAATTCTACAAAGATTCAACATTATTAAAAATAAATAAAATAATGAGTCGTTCTAATATTTTAGTAGCTATTACGTGAGGCTTATTTTTTATTTTTTGCTTTGATTTAATTTTGTATTATATACATTTATATATTTTCTATGAATAATTCTAGTTTTACTTTTTTATATTAGATTTAAATTTATATTTATTTAAATATCGTTAAGTTATATGTTTAGTTTTTAGATAAGCTATATTGTGATTATTCTAACCAATTGTATAATGTCTAATTGTAATATTTTATTTCAAAGATCAAAAAAATTAGCAGGATTTATGTTGTATTTTTTCACATACTCTATTGAAGTTGGTAAATCGATGTATTTAAGAGAATTTTTTATCAGAGAACATTATAGAGGACATGGAGTAGGATCACAACTATTTCAAGTTCTAGCTAAAGTAAATTTAATTAAATCATTATATTCAAAAATAAATGTAGTTGAGATACAATTTTTGTATGTACGAAAAATTTCTAGCTTTGCTATTGTAATTATTATTTTTTCCTGAATATTTTTTCAGGAAGCGTATAATAACAAATGTAAAGAAGTTGTATGGCAAGTATTGAAATGGATTCCTGCCAGAAAATTTTATGAAAAATATAAAGCTGAAAATATGACAGAATCAAAAGGATGGCAGTTATATGTTAAGCCGATTAAAAAAAATGAAAAATAATATTATCAAGAAAAAATTATTTGAAATGTATAATTCAATGGATTACATTTTACATATTCTAACTTGAAAAAAATTAACTGAAGAATTTATAATTAGCATATTAATAGATTTAAAGGTAGATTTATAAAACTTATAAAAAAAATAAATTTTAAATCATTAATATAAAAGTACTTATTTCTTTGTACGAAAGAAAAAATTTAGTATTAAAATTTGAGTAAAATAGCTGATGTGAGCGTAAAGGATGTGGCGATTGTGTCAAGTGGAAGTTTAGGATAAGGGTGGCCAGCCCTAAGAAGTTGGGATTAAGGCGAGGAAGAAGAAGAAAATTGAAATCTGAGTGAAATAGTATACAAAATAGTGAGTAAAGTAATGACGAAAATCTGCAAACGGACATACGTTACATATATGTAATATATGTAATATTATTATTGAATTATTTTAATTTACTTGAAATGCTTAAGGATTTATCTATGTTTACAGTTGAGTTCTGACGTTTCGGACTCATTGCAGAATCCATCACTCTGAAGATGGACTGAACATGGATAAATCCTTAAGAACATCAAGCAACAAGATAATCCATGAAAGCTTTAACACATTCATATCTTAATTTAATAAAATTCTTAACATTTTTAAAATCCCTAAGTTTTAGTTATAAAAAAAAATTATTATATTATAAGAGTTACATAGAAATGATATCTATGATTTCTATTAAAATGATTTATTAAGATAAAAATCTAATTGCAGATTTTAAATCGGTGCAAAAATATAAGTATGTACAAATGTTTTTTATTTAAATTACACAATTTCTTAAATGTAAAAAAAGAAGATTCTACTTAAAAAAAGTTGTTTTTATTTTAACATAATACCCTTTAAGGACAATAAAAATATAAAGATTAATTATTATTTTTTATTTAATCGTAATTGCAGACTAAATACAAGGGTATCATTCTTAAAATATTATACTGTTTATATATAAATCTCTGTATAAACGGGTTTCATATACTGGTAAATCCTGAAAATTTTAGTATACTGAATATTTTTTGCTACTTTCTTCTTTAAAAACTTGTTATAGCTTATGATTATAATGACACAATACTAAAAATATATTTTTTATTTTATTAAAATAATAAAATATATTTTGAATGACTAAAAATGTCAAAAAATAAAATTCTATTAGGTGTGATAACGAAAAAAGACATTTTACAGTGGGCAATTAAAATCTTCTCTCAGTACTTGACTGACTAAATAGTCTTTTAAGTCCAGTGCCCTGTATATTAATGCAAGTAATCATATAACTAAATAATTGAATATACAAATATTAGACACTCTCCATATGTACTGAACTTTTTTAGTACTATAGCAAATATGGAGTAACATTTAAAGTGAATGAAATTTTGAATTTCCAATTTCCAAATCGAAATGTTGATTTTAACGCCTTGAATGTTTGCTGTCAATAATCGCTTACAAAAATGTCACTAAATGTATGTGTATTTCAGTTCATTAAAAATTATAACAAAATACAAGGTATTATATAAAGTATTACTTATAGCGTATAATCAGAGGTAATAAATAATTTATTCAAGTACAATTATCGTACTTGAATATTGGTGGTTTTTGATTCGTTTAATATTAAACCACAGATAAGTTTTATCTTATACGAAATTATACGTTAAATATTGTATTTATCTTTAAATACACATCGATCTTATCATTATTATATTGTTATATTATTGTCATTATAAAAATGACAACAAGCTCAGTTGGGTTTATACTTTCATATTGTCTGTGGTAGTAATATTTATTAGGTACAAAAATTGTTACAAATAGATTAAATATAATTTATTGATTTAATCATGCCACAATATGTAATTTGAATATTATTTATGTTTAACTACAATCACTTAATATTTTTTATGGTTCAAAAATGTGTCACATACTACATTTTTTATTGTTTGTATCAAACTACTGTTGAAATCGTATTCTCTTCGTGTGGTTAGTGTGGTATAACTAAAGAAGAAAGTGACAGAAATCTGCTCTAGAGAACGATATGATCTTATTATGAATAATGTAAAAAATGGCCACGCTGTGTAATATTATAATTTAGTTAAGATTTAATATGTCATAAATTAAAGAAATTTAGTTAGATATGGGGTAAAATTTGGCGTATGTTTTCATGAATATAAATTCAAGATGTTTAATTTAAATGCTATGTATGATATATATATATATACCATGTTTTACAATATGATTTTAAGTATGTTTTAAGTTTAATGAATATTATTCCTAACTTCATTTATTACTCAAGTATTTCTTTAAGTTGTATGAAATATACATTGCTCATCAATATGGATTCATAATGTAAATACAACAAGTCTCGCAATACAATCATTTTATGAAAATGCTTTTATAGTTTAGTAAAACGATCTTCTTTATCTTCTTATTCTTCTTTTTTTTCGAGCAAACCGCTGCCGTAGTTAAAAAAATGCTATTTTTGTGTTCAAATTTTATTATTATTTTTTGTTTATTTTAAAATACTTTATAAGAGTTTGCCATAGTAAAGTCAGCTTTTTTATTTGCAGTGACACCATCGTGTTCTAGTATTTTGTTACTAGTGTAACTTTGTTCAATCTCGATAGTCATTCCAAAGTTTCCTTATATTTGAGATACAAAGGAAGTAATTCGATTAGTAGTGACTCTAATATAACCGTTAGTGTAGTTCTTAATGCTCCAGTGATGGCTATGACAGCCATTCACTGTATGCGACTAAGTTGCAAATGAAAATGCTGGAAATTCCCAAAAAATTAAGATTTTTAAAATCGGTAAATTTCAAAATTTTTTTCTAAAAATTGCTATATAAGTTCTTTCCTGACTGTAACGAGTACTGTTCTGGTTCACCAGACATATTTTTCGAGTATACTCTCTAATAAAAAATTTGCATTGAAGCCTTTTTTATTTTTAAAAAAAATGTCTTTTAAACGTAATTTATTTGAAAAATATTATCTAAAAACTTCATCATCTCGGAATCAGTTCTCATATATCTTCAAAACTTGTTGCGCCTTTTTACGAACTTTTTTTTTTAAAGTAATAACAATAATAAAAGATAATTTTCGAGCAATAAAAATACTATGTATTGAAAGCTATTAAAAAAAAAGATATACGCTTAATTTATTTAGTAGATATTTTATGTTGCTTTATAAGTTGATTATTTAATTAGTAGTAATAAACAATTGCTGTTATATTCAGATTTATATGATGTTGAAATTTTAAGAGAAACTTGATGTTGTTACGTTGGATTATAACTTCATATTTTGATTAAACGAAGTAATTTAACTAAGAACTAGAAAGTTGTGAATCGAGGAGCACAATTTTTAATTTCAACAAACCGGTTCACTGCAATAATTGATAATAATAATTGAACACAAATCAATATTAATTTCAAACAAATTTTTCAGTTTAGAGAGAGTAAAGGTACCATGACCTTAGAAATTCGAGTTCTATAGGCTTAATAACTAATTAATAATTAAGTAAAAAACTCGATGTAATAGAAATATGTGAAACCAGATTTAGAACAAACGTCCAAATTCAATATAGAAATAATATAAAAATTGTAAAAAAAAATAATAAAGCTTTTGTTATTTGTTATGCTGTGTTATTTACTTATTTGCAACTTTTAATACATATTGTTTTCACAAACAGAGGACAAATGGATATGAATTGGATTTTCTAGGTGTTGAGAATATTATAATAAAGTAAATATAAACAGATCTGAATAAAGAATAACGATGATAGCAGTATTTTTACCTGTACTTAATATAAAATAATAAATAAATGAATTTAAAAATCATTTAAAACAGAATTATTTCAAATAAATTAATAAAAATTTATTTATTGTTAATTAATTATACTGAAGTAGAGTTAAATCATGATTAAAAGAAAAATGATTTACAGTTTTGTATAAAATATTAAAAATATATAATATATAACTTGTTAAAAATGTAATATTTGTCAGAATTGCTAGATAAATTAAACTTAAAGATAGATAATTTGCTAAATATTACAGTTGCATTATGATAATCAAAGTGCATAGTAATTTCTTGATGAGTTTTAAATTATAATATCCAGGGCCACCACCTTAAAGCAAAAAATTGAAGGTGGATTGTATCAAAATTATTTTCATCAACTGAATATATTTTATTAATTGTATATATGTGATCTAAAAACTTAATGTAACAAAAAAATTGTACAAACTGTTTTTCGTCAAAAAAAAAATTGCCATCAAGTATATATATTACACAATATGGAGAAATTAGAGAAGGCAAAATAAATAACAATGATATATATTTGATGATTTATCCCAAATAGTATATATTTTATGACTACAATATCACTAAAGAATATCGCTTAAGAGGAGCTATATTTAATTGTCTATAGACACATTTGATTAACTTATGTATTATAATACATAAGTTAATCAAATGTGTATTTATATTAAAAATCTTTTAGTGAATAATCTAATCACTATCATAAAAAACGCTTCGATGCAAATCTTTAAATAGTATTTAATTTTAAAAATTTGGTGGATTATTCCAAAAGCTACATGATCTCCTATTTTCTTATTTATATCCTGATTACAAGTTTTATGATTTATAAGTGTAATATATGAAAAAATATTTATTATAGCAATTAAATATGAAATGAAATTGATATTTTAATAATTTAGTAATGTAATTTTTACAGAGAAATTATAAAAAAAAACCAGTACAGGGGAGTCGCAGCACAGTGGTGACGTTACATAGTTGTATCAAGTATAATGATATCTGACAGTGATTAAAATCACTATAAAAAAAAACGCTTCGATGCAAATCTTTAGATAGTGTTTAATTTTAAAAACTTGGTGGATTATTCTAAAAGCTACATGATCTGTTATTTTCTTATTAATATCCTGAATGAAAATGGGATTATTAAAAAATATTATTTCTCATAAAAAATTGTGTTGATCCATACACTTTTATAAGTTATAGTTATAGTTTACAATGCTATAAGTTATAGCATTATAAAGTTAAAAATGTAAAAAATAAAATCAAGAATTTTCAAACGAAAATAGCATTCGATAGCCATTTTCATCACGGAGACAAGTCCAGAAGTCAAATTTTTTTTTTCCACAATAAAGTACATTACATTAGTTTAATTTAAGATACATATAAAAGTGTCAGAGTTTCCGGAAGGCTTTCAAAATTGTCATTTTGAATCCCCTCTGTGGGCAGGTTATGTGCCAGATTTATAAAATTTGTAATTTTTTTTAAGATTTCCCCCATTTAGTCCCCCTAAATGGGGGATTATTCCAAAAGCTACATGATCTGTTATTTTCTTATTAATATCCTGAATGAAAATGGGATTAATAAAAAATATTATTTCTCATAAAAAATTTGTGTTGATTCATACACTTTTCAATAAGTTATAGTATTATAAAGTAAAAAATGTAAAATATAAAATCGAGAATTTTCACACAAAAATAGCACTCGATAGCCATTTTCAAGTCAAATTTTTTTTTTCCACAATAAAGTATATTACATTATTTAATTTAAGATATATATAAAAGTGTCAGACTTTCCGGAACATTTTCAA